TATAGGAGGAGGGGGCAGAGTGCAGACTAGGTTTAATTGGCTGCTTTCAGATTTAAGCCACTGCTACTGAGGTACACTGCCTCAGGAGAACATCAGTAGGGCAAGTCCAACATACCAGCTTCCCAGAGCACCAAGAAGAGCTGAGACAACACTATATACACCTTTTGGGTCCTTTAATTTATCTAGGTACTTACTCAGCCCTTCCCATAGTAAGGTGCTTCAGAACCATTAACTTTATCCTCAACATCACTCAGAGGCAGGAAAGGGTTATCTTCAGCTAGGCACAGGGCAGATTAAGTAATTTACCCAAACTCACATAGGAAGCTGGTGACCAAGCCAGGAACTGGACCCAGATCTCAAGCCTCTACGTGCCTTATCCACTGGACCAACCATTCTCACATGGTTGGGCAGGAGCCCAACGTGAGTGGCAGCCCCACTGAATGGAATCGCCAGGGCTGGCTTAGAGCTGCTGTGGGCTGGTGCTGAAGGCCAAGCCCCACTGCCTGGGGCCAAACCTGAAGCCTCAGGGCTCCAGCTCTGGGTGGCAGGGCTCAAGTTACAGGCCCCCTGTCTGGGGCTGAAGCCCTTGGGCCTCTCTACCTGAGGTGATACAGCTGACGTATGTTCCAGTTTCAGTCCCCTTCTCCTGGGGTCATGTAATAATTGTGTTGTCAGCAGCAGGGTCACAGCACAATGACGTCTGAGAACTGCTGCACTAGGCTATTCTAGAGCATGTGGTACCTCACTCTTTGCACTCCAACTCTGTGGGCTGGCATCATGGAGGCTAGTGGATGCAGCAAAGCTAGAGGCGTCCAGTCTTTTCACTCAATCCATGTAAGGATTGAGATTGCCCCCGGCCCCTGCACAGGGGTACAAGAGGGAAGGGGAGGGGAAAGGTTCTTAAGGCAGTGGTAGGGCAGACTTGCTGCTACCTACTTTCTAGCCTCACAAATGGCTTGGAAACCTTCAGAAAAAAACCCACTTCATGCAATTCATAGTGTTCTTTTCCGCCACCTTTATAGATTATGCCACTTCATACCAACGGTAATACAGGAAAGGGATGGGAGACCTCTCTCATGACACTTCATTTCCCTCCCCCATTGCTTCCTTCCTGTGCCAGTTTGTATCTTCTGAGATAATGAGTTAATTAGACTTAAATCTCTCTAGACCACCCCCAATCTACCAGCTGGGCACAGTTCTCATTTACAAATGTGCTCAGGGCAATTAATTAAAGTTACAGCATTTAGACTGCTGGCCTGGCTGCTTTTGCCCAGATCCTTGTCAAACCCACACACAGCCCAGCAAATCCAAATGTTTGGACACCCAAAATACCAATCAGAAAATGGAAAAGTTAACATTCCCGCAGAAGTGCTAACTTGGCCATGCTCACATCCTGCACAGCTTGTGCTGGATATTTTGTGACAAATTGCAATATCTCAAACAAAAACAAAACTCCACCACCCTGTGTTGCTACCGACAGACAGAGGGAGAGAGAGGCTAATGGTGAACAGGTTCTCAACACAATTATTATTCACAACAGTATAAAAAAGGCAAGAAATACAAATGGTACAGTTCTCACAGTGACACAAAATATCCAAAACAAAAGACCTAGTAGTAATGGGGAAATTTAACTGCTCATTAAAAAAATTAACACAGCAAAACACAAAATTTCAAATAAGTTATTGTAAAGTATTGGGCAGAACTTTTTGTTCCAGAAAGTGGAAGAAGTAACTAGGAGAACAACTATTTTATATTTGCTACCAACCAGGGAGGTATCCGTAGCAAATCTGAAAGTGGAAGGCAATTTGGGTGAAAGTGATCATGATTCTAAGGAGTGAAAGGAGGAGAATGAAGCCAGTGGCCTTCCAAAAAAACAGATGTTAACCAACTCAAAACTGGTAAGTAAGGTCACATGACCTGGGAAAAAAAATTAAGGGCAAAATGGAGTTTAAGAGCGCTGGCAGTTTTTCAGGGAGACAATATTTAAGGCACAACTGCAAACCATCCTGATCTGAAGAAGAGATAAGAAGAATAGTTAGAGGCAAATATAGCTCAATCAGGAGATCTTTACTTACCTGAAAAATCAAAAAGGAATCCTCAAATGGAAACATGGACACATTGCTGAGGAAGAGGACAAAAGAACAGCACAAGCATGTAAGAACAAAATTAGAAAGGCTAAGGGCACAAAATGAGTTACGTCTAGCAAAGGGCATAAATGACAACAAGAAAAGGTTCTTTGAATATATTAGGAGTAAGAGAAAGACAAGAGAACGTGTAGGTAGATGCTCCACTTAGCAGGGAAGGAGAAACAATAACTGATTACATCAAGAAACCTGAAGTGTGTAATGCCTACTTTGCTTCAGTCTTTACTAAAAAGGTTACTGATGACCAGGTACTCAATTTACAACAAGGGGAAAGGGAATGAAAGATAAAATAGGGA